TCATTTTTTACTCATGGATCTAACTACTTGTCACAAGTGATCACTAGTGATTACCTAGAAGTGACCATGGCCACAAGGGATACAAAGATAAGAAACTACTTATATATGCTTTCAAGGAGCTTATTACAGTATAGTCAAAGAGGACATGCCAGAGGTACAAATAAACTAAAGTGCCAGAATATACAACCACCAGCAGCCAGGTACCGAAGGTGACGATCTGAAGTGGGGAAGGTCATATTCTGTTGAAGGGCAAAAAAACCCAGGAAAGTTGCCATGGAAGACATGGTTTCTTGATGGGTAGGATTTTTTAAGAGGGCAAGTAAGGAAAAGGCTCAGATGACTAAATGCACGAGAGAGGCACACTCAGGACACACTCAGTACCATTCTCTTCAGGGGAGGTCAGAAGACAAAGTACATTCTATGTCTCTACAGTAGGTTAAGAATAAAACAGCATGGACACGAAATAGAATGATACAAAGCAAGTCAGGCCAGTAGTCATTTCCTCAGAAAAGGAGGAATGATGCTGGGTCAGGCGTTAGCGCCATCTAACAATTTTACACCTAAGCGAGCAAGAGCTCTTAAACAAACGACACAATGTCCACTTCCACTGAAAAGCTATGCTGTGGGCTTAAACTTGAGTTAGGGCTTTTTTTTAACCTGGTCTTCTCTAGTATTTAAACTATGTCATTATTCAAAAATGTTCAGCTAAGGAAAGGCTGGGCAGCTGGAGTCCCGCACACGAAAAGAATGTCAAGAACAGAATGGTTCTCCTGCGCTTCTGGGGATACTGGCTTAAGTTCAGTTTCACACTGAAGCCAACCTTCAGACCCTCCCTCACACAGGTGAGCAGCAGGGCCTGGGCTCCCCACCTTCCCTCACCTGGGGCTGACAAACACCACCAAGCTGGAGGAAGCTTTCACAGCCCTCCTCAGTCAGATCCGAGGGAGTGAGAAGCACCTGCCCACATAACACACATGCCTGTAACCCAGTCATTGCCCCCAAACAAAGCCAAGGAAACCTCCAGTTACAGAGGAATTCAGATAAAGACTCTCTGTAAGTGGCTATTCTGTGCCTCCTTTCTCCTCTCTCCTCCCCCAAACACTCACAAACAAAAACAAAATGTACCCTTGCCCACTTGAGAAAGAATTAAGAATTGGCAGCTCCGCTAAAGTGGACAGTTTCCAAACCAAGGCCCTTCTCTGGAGAAGATGTTGACAGAGCCTAGTGAAAGAACACAGCTGAGTTAAGTCTGAGGGTGGCTTCCTTCCTCAGCCTTCCTTTAAGTCCCAGCTTTCCTCAGAGGCATCAAAGGACCTCTAAGATGTTCTCTAGCCTACTCTGTTCTTCCCCAGCAAAAATGGCTTAAAACACAAAACCCAAACCCTCAAACAACACTTTAAACCCTGACAATTTCCCTTCATGAAAATTCAATGAAATTTAAAACAAAGGGAAAAAAATACTTAGAGTCAAAATAAATGAGAAATCTTGTATTTTTGATAAATAAACTTTTTGCCTGTGCCCAATTTATCACAGACTATTTCTTTTAATGAAAGTTTCATGGGTACAACCTAAAAACAAAGTTTAAAAAAAAAAAAACAACTTGAAATTAGGAGGAGCGATAAATACATTTTAATGCTCAATAAAACAAATACTTTGACACTCTCCTACATCTGAATCATTGCAGCTGAAGAATCCTAATATCTTATTCACTTCAGTCCAGGACACCCAACTGACCCAGGGCAAACATCTCTACTCCCCAAGACACTCTCAGACACATCTCCTTCAGGCAGCCCTGGGGAAAAGCCACTGCTCACTCCACGGAATGGAAGCGCCAGCAGCCCCTCTGTCTTCTGGCACCGGCTAGAGACCAAAAAGAACAAAATCTAAAAGGAAATTAGATGAAAAACATTTATTAATCACCAGCCCCTGAAGACTGACTTCCTGAACACACTATCACTAAACTGCTTTGGTGGCCCTGAGATTTGAAAATGAGTGGGGGCCTAAGAAAACACAACAATCCTCTAGTTCTGATTCCAGGATGCGCCTCAAACATGTCTCCTCAAAACAAAAGTATTACACTGCTAACCATAATAAAATCATTTTGAAAAGCTCTATACTTTGTACCTTTCCAACACATTCTACGCACCATCCACAAAACCATCTTTCCAGAGGATGCGGTAAAGCCAACAGGGCTCACCATTTGCTGCAGTGCAAGCAAAGCTGCCCCAGGCCTCATCTGCTCCTCTGGCCGCTTTCCTGCCCTCCCACCCTCCTCCACCTATGCTGACCACTGAGAAGTTACCTGCAGAACTCTGGTTGTTTAGTTCCTTTAAGCTTTGTTTCATGCTGTTGCCTCAGACTGAAGTGCACTTTTCTCTGTCATCTGTAGGGTGTATCCTGAACTCATCTTTCAAGACTGAGCTCAAATGTCATCTCCTCTGAGGCACTTTCCAACCTCTGCATTTCCAGAGCAGAACTGGCTGGGAGGCCGCACCCCCTCCCGCTCCACATTCTTCTGCGGCAGTGGCAGCAGCTCTGTCCATCATTCCAGGAAGATCAACCTGCCTCATCCCACTAGACCCACAAGCTCCTTGTAGGAAGAGACCTCACCTGACTCCCCCATTTCCTCCGTGCCTAGCACAGTGCTTACAGGGTAAGGGTTACCTGCCGGAGTGAGGAGCAGAGGAGCAGAAAACAGGTCTAGAATCGAGGAAAAGAGAAGGACAGGATGGCCTGAGGGCTGGAGAAGAGTGGGGGCTGCCGTGCTGCAGTCTGGCCTTCCGCTCCTGTACCCGCTCTGGCCCTCAGCACTCACTCATTCTCTCAGCCTTGGAGGCTCCACACTAGGCGACAGGTGGCCGAACTAAGCTTCCAAGCCCCCTCACTCCTGACCTCCACGCCACCTTCAGGCTCATCTTCACTAGCTGAAACAGCTGTCGCTAGGATGCTCATGGCCACTTGAAATCCAACACATCGAAAACCGAATCCACCACATTCCCCTTAAAAGGTAACGACACCGGGCTCTCCCTGGTGGCGCAGTGGGTTAAAGCACAGCACTAAGAAGCTAAAGCCACTTCCACATGAGTTTGATCCCCGCCTGCCCTGGAGGTGACCACAGGGCACGGCAGACCTCTCCTGGCCCGCCCGCTGCTCCCCTCAGCACTGTACTTCATCATCTATCTGCCTGTTCTGCTCCCCACTCTGTCTCTGGTGAATCCTCTCACCCTCCGCATCTCTGGCCTGTACCCCAGTTCCATATGAATAAATAAATAAATCTTAAAAAAAAAAAAAAGGTAATGACACCTTCCTAGCATCCTTGTTGGCCAATGTCTCAGATACCCAGGCTTCCAAGGCTAGTCGCACTCCCTCGGTCGCTCATGCTCCAGCTCCCATTCCCCACCCTCCAGGAGTTCCTCCCCAATCTCCTCCACTCTCCTCTCCTTGCCCCACTCCCCACAGCTCCAGTTCAGGCCTCATCACCTGATACCGCCAAATGTCAAAATCTCCCTTCCCTCTAAGCCAACCTGTTTCCTGCTATCTTCACGGTACTGTCCTGATAAAAAGGCCTCAGTGGTTCAGAACTTTCCATCATGTAAAACCTCAGCGCATAAACCTGGCTGCTAAGACCCCTACAAGCAGAGCTCCAAAGAGACCTGGCCACCTCCGCCCGCCCATAGTCACTGCTTGCAGCAGGGGTCACTGTAAGGACATCCCAAGCAGAGGCCTGCTTCCAGGCTGTGGTCGACCCCTATCGGCTCCAGAATGAGAGACTTTGTTTCCGTCTGCTTTCATCCCTAGCCTTCATACCAGAACCACTTCGTTGTTTAAGCTCTGGGGTAAGTTACCATCCTCGGTGTCATCACTCATAATTACCTGAGTACTCGTCTTCTAAAATACCTCCAGTATAACGTCCAAGTTATGCAACTGAAGTATACTTTTACATTTTAAAATTTTATTTGTCTGGCTCCAAAGGTAGTCATTCCTTCCTCTTCCCCTTATTCCCAACTGGACTGTAAATTCAAGGGCACAAAATTATCATTTTTTCCTAATCTTCCAACAGGACCTAACAGAGACTAAAGTGACAATTTTCTTAAAGGAAAAAAGGGATAAGGCATAACTTTAAAAAAAAAAAACCACACTGGAAAATAAGGCATAATGCTAAAATGACAGTTGAAAATAATTCTAAACTTAATTGTGTACAGACTGATTCTGAGCTTTCTACCTCTGATTTCCAGCTCAGAAATACCACAGCCTGTCTACGGCCATACCACCCTGAACGCGCCCGATCTCGTCTGATCTCGGAAGCTAAGCAGGGTCGGGCCTGGTTAGTACTTGGATGGGAGAAATACCACAGCCTTCTGGCCTAAGAGATAAATAATAATCCTGTGCCCATGACATCACAAGCACAGACTTTAGCAGTGAGTACGAGAAGGCGGGAGGGGCAGGGAGGAAGGCAAGCAAGTCACAGACAGCGCAAGGCCCAGAGCGCAGGCTCTTCAACCTGTCAACTCTGATGTCCCTTACCTTCTCTTCCACAGGCCGCATTGTCAAACTGGAGGAAAATCCTGGCAGACTTTTTGGCAGAGCTGCTACTTGGAAGAGCCTCTATCAACCCTTAGCCCTGTGGAAAAGCTCCATCTCCAGCAACCGGACAAACTAGGACTCAGGCAGACGGCAAGGACCCACCAGGCTAGATGACCACCAACGTCATTCCCAGACAGCTCGAGGCCACGCTGAACTGTGGAGAACTTGGTCTTCACAACATACGCACTGAGTTTCCACAAATGGATTATCCATTTTTATGGATTTCTAAAGCAAAATCTTTAACCCAGGACTTTCAGGTAAAGCAGGTTTTGAAATGCAAACTGAGTTCAACATCATCATTTTGACCCCTGAACACTAAAATTAACCTGGCTTTAAAAGTGATGCACTTTCAAACCAAAAACTGGCTTGCACCAGTGCAGCCCATGGCGCAGGGGGAGCCAACAGACTGTCCTTACCGTGAGGCCTCAAATGACTCCAGCCCCAGCCCAGACTGCCACAGGAGTCAATGCGAGACGGGCACACGCTGAGCTCGGCAGCGAACAGGGCGTGTGGACATAAAGCCTCTACGGCAATCCGGTCTCCAGGCTGTTTCCTTAGGCCAGAACTGCCCAGAAGAGCAGCGGGAGCCGCGGTGTGCGGTGCCTGCCTGACTCCTGTCCTGACTCCCCGGACCAGAGGCTCGAAGCTCCTCATTAAATCCATCCTTTGTTCCAGGCCCTACAATGACTCTATTGACACGTCTATCAACACCCAACACAGTCTGGCCTCGGAGTCCCCTCCACCCTCTTGCCTGCTCTACCCAGGAGAGGACCAAACCACATTCTCTCCAGTCACACGCATTTATTCCCCCACAAACACAACTTAGTCATTCATACCATCACTGCACACTGCACATTCTATACTCTGCCCAGATCTTTCTTACACGCCTAACATAGACTATTTCACTTGCTTAAGTGTTCCCAGTTTGTAAGTCAGGATGGAGAAGGAAACATCCTACATCAACAGTAAGAAGAACTGAGATTTTACCCAAAGCCCATCTAACGCCACAGCCCATCCCTCTGATCCCATCTCCCATGTCCATTTCAAATTTTACTTAGAAATCAGTAATTTATCTGACTGATTCTTACTGTTACTTGAAGTTTTCTAGCCTGTACATACTCCATTTTCAGCACACTAAAGTTGGCTTTTTATACTGCTTTCTAAATGTCAAAGTTTATAATAAGCCTTACCACTTGCCACCTTTCTCCAACCCCACCACCATCCCAAGGGCAAGGACACCTGTCTCAATCTTTTATATGGCCCCCAAACCTGTCACTTGAGTCTGGAGTCTGCTTTATCCACAAGAGTTTTCAATCATCACTCAGCAGGGATTTCTTACTTTAAAAAAAAAGAAGAAGAAGTCAATTCCCTTCTAGCATACTTAAAAAAAACAACAACTGAATTCAGGCATTCATGACAAAACTGCCCTGCGTGCAGATCACAGTTACACAGATTTTTGCTGTCTATACTTATCAGGGGAAGTCAAGAAGATGCCACAGTTCCCAAGTTTCCAAAGGAAAGACACTGCAGAAGTCACACTTCAGAGTGTGACTTTTTCAGGATTTTTCCTTTGATGAGGTAAAAAGAAGGGGTGCTCCCATACAAGTCCTCGGGCAGTATCCTTAGCACGCTTGACACAGTCAGGAGCTCTAAAACAAGCAGCATTCCGTGCACCCATTCGAGCTTGAGCAGATCTGGTTAACACTTAGTTACATGGTTTGAAATCTCAAAATTCCAAACAAAGTTTTCTAAGAATTGAGAATCGGGCTGGGCACCCTACGCTTATTCTTGAGTTCACTCAACCCCCTCAAGCCCCACCTCTTCTCCCAATAATGTATATAGTTCAGCTATGAGAAATCGTTCAATACAAACTGGCATTTGTTCAATACAGATACAAAGAGAATTTACCAGAGATCACTAGCCTTGAAGCCAATCGACTCACGACTCACAAAACAGACTCTGGGAGAGTTGTGATAAGATTTTTACCCTCCAAATTAAGCCTTTTCTTGATAGGGATCCCCTCCCATCCAAAAAAAAAAAAAAAAAAAAAAAGGTTCAGGAAATTTTCCAAGTTGCCACTAGCAACGTAACTCCAACTATCGCTTCTACCACTGGTCCGCCACACTACTGTCAGCAGACTGTAGTCAGCAGACGGCCCTTTATGTGGCAAAAGTTTACATGGTTTTCTCAACACAGGAGTCTTCAGCATTAAATGAAATGGACAGAGTCAAATCAGGCAGCAACAGAATCAGTAAAAATTGGGGAACTATCTTCCATCTTTCTTTCCTGCTTGGGTGTATAGTGTCCAAAGTAGATATCGGCTCATTTCTAAATTATTCATGCTAATGGATAATTACTAGCAGAAAGGTGCTGATAATCTGAAATGGAAAAAAAATCGAAAAATAATCTATTTTAGTTTTGGAATATCTTTTCAGCATATTTACCGTCTCAATTATTCTTAGCATGAGCTAATATTTGGATTCGTTTGCAATCTCCTAGTACATAGTAACTGGCCACTTACTGAGGGTGGTGCCCTCGGGCATGATGAGCAGCTAGTGGAAATTAGAGCAGGCTGGTAGTCAGCCGCCAGAGGGGCAACTTCAATTTCACTCATTTCACAGTTCTGTTCAGCCTTCCAAATATCAATAGTCCAGCACAGCAGGTTGGCTACTAAACTTTAAGAGAACTGCTCAGAAAAACAGTGAAGACAAAAAGTATACCTGTTTATAATGGGTTCATTTGTAAGTTATGCACAGCAAAGTCTGCTTACAACTCTCCCTAGCACGCTACAGAAGTCCCCGCAGTTTTCTCTGCAGCCTACTCCAGCCCATCAAGAAGGTAATCTCTCTCACCAGGAAGGGCATTTTCTTAATGTCTGAGTTAAATAGTCAAAGGTGGTTTGGAAGGATTTGGGATTTGCTACCTTTGGAACAAACAGCCTTCCCACTACATTTCTTTACTTGGTCCTTCCCCACCTTAGAACAGGTTTCAAAAGACAAAGGGATCCAGCCTCCTCCGAGATCTCCTAAGTATGAGGAGCCAAAGATTGAAAATGTCCTTAAAGATTGACGATTTTCCAAAAGGCATCTTCTATACATACTTACAAAAAGACAAGAAAACTGAAAGTCAGTCTCTTGCTAATTTCTGCCTTTCCATTCATGAAAAGTCCCCCAACAATGTGTTACATAAAATTTCACCAGTCATCTTCTCCCAACATAATTTCTGTATCTGTACTGTGCTCCGAGGAGCCACCTAGGTTATGCACACAGGCGACCTAAACAGAGACGGGGCAGAGGGGAAAAAAGACTTTCCGCGTGGGTCCTGGTGAGACCGACAGGCTAAAAATACGCCGGCCCAGTAAACAAATCCCATTCCATCCCGACCGAGCCACACCGTTAACCTAGTAATTAGGAGAAGAGAAGTGAGATCACGCAGCCCCCGGCTTACTCATCGGCTTCTGAAGTTTCCATCGGTTCATGGCAACTTTTCTTTTTCGAAGTTCACGATCCTGCCCTGGAGTCGGCCACCCCTCCCCATCTGCAGCCCCGGGCTGCCCGCCTCGCCGGCTCTCGCGCACACCCCAGCTCGCGCCCCCCGCCAGGCAGGACGCACCCCGCTTCGGGCGGCCGACGGGGCCAGCGAGCGTCCGCTCTTTTCCTTTCCGACTGCGAGTTCCAACTTCGTCCCCGGCAGCAGGCGGCCCGCACTGCTAACGAGCCACCTTAGGACGACACCGCCCCTCCCTGCGAGTCTGGCTGACCAGGTAGGGCCGCCCCAGGCGGCCCGCGCGCTCGGGGGGCCCAGGCCGCGCGGGGG